GCCGTGAGGTCGGGATGCGATGTGCGAAAAAGGCGGGATGATGAATGATGCGATGGTCGCGAGTGGTAACGGTGCTGACTGAGGTGCTACAGTGACGTACGCGCTGGGCAGGGACGCGAAGTAAGGAAAAGGGAATTTCCTTACAACTTTCCACATGTACTAACACCAGTACGGAAAACGAGCCCTTCTTAGACGAAATTGGCGTCACCTTCAAGATTTACATTTTGAAGTTCGGTTGTCCTCTCAAAGCACGTAGTCCTCAATCATCTCCCCGAGCGCATCTGGTCTAGGGGGGATATTCTCACCTCCCGTGCTCTTCCGCAAGCCTCGCTTCGCTCTCTCGTTTTCGCGTGAAACATACGAGTTGGCTAGCGAGCAGCGATAAAAGCTCAGGTTGTTCGGATTGATACTAGATTAGGGACGATTTATCTCAACGACTATTTCATCTTGGCTGGTTAGCTGTGGCATGTCCGGGCAGCTCACTCTGCATGGAGCCTTTTCTCAGAAACGGTGACATTTCTTCGATCTCTACTTTAAGTGCAATATGTGTCATAGGCGTCAGTACATTGAGGTTTTTTTGTTTTGTTTTGTTTTGTTTTGTTTTTAAGCTTCTATCGCTCCCGCTTCATGCAACCCTAATGACGTCCGTTAGTTTCCAGCCCAAGGATATTAGTAAACGCACCACTGTTTTGGGAAATCAATCACACGCAGTTGTGGCACTCACCTATGCATCGCCGCCCTGCTTCCACCTTTACTGACCCATTCCTCTTTATTTCAGGTCGCGGGTATCAGTGGATGCACCATCTCTCCGAGACAGCAACCCTTCCCTCTTCTCTCTCCTGCACTCCGTGGCTCAACCTGAACAGCCGGCGAAGGAACAGCAGCAGGAGGTTCTAAAACGACGGGTTACCGCCTCAGCACATCCATCTCGATGCAGTCACCCTCCATTAGATCACACGAGCGACCGCGCAGCTCGTGACAGCACAGAACGGACGCACAGCGACGCACCAGCCTCCGTAGCTGAAAGATCAGGGCAGCAAAGGGCTTGCAGTGCTTTCCAAACTACAGTCTTTCGAGCCGACACTCCTCGATCTGACAGCAGCAGTGCAGCTCATCCGAGCAATGATTTACCAGCCTTCCCAATTGCAATCTGTCCCAGGAGTTTCCCCAGTGCCAGGGGCAATAACTCCAATGCCAGAATCTTGCCGAGTTTAAGGAAAACTCTTGGTGACAGAAATTCTCCCAGTGACACGAGCTCGCTTAGGGACAGGACTTTACTAAGAGACGGGAATTTGTCTAGAGACAAGTGTTTTGAGGAATTCCCCCAAGCTAGGAGCCATAGAAGCGTGCCTCCTTCCCAGCCTTCGTCCCGGGTGCTCGTTCTGAGTGAGAGTGAAAGAGCTGGGGCTGTAGGAAGGGTAGGAAGGGTAGGGTTGTGGGGAGCGGATAGTGTTGCAGGCCGGCAGCAGCAGCAGGGCAGGGGGGAGAAGAGGCAGAGGGCGTTGAGCAGCAGTGATGGAGTGTGCTCTGCTTCAATTCCAAAGCGGCAAGCTCATTTCAACCACTGTGAGTGTTACTCTCTGCCCTGTTTTCTGTGTGTTGCGTCTGGTTTGGTTTGCAGCAACCTCTTGCATGCTGCACGGGTGACAGCTGCATACCTACCTACCAGTGATTCATCTGAGTCGACTTGAGTATGCTGCTGCTCTCATTGCTGCCACTTTCAGAATTCTTGTGGCAATTTTTGAGTCGACCAAAAATATGTCTCTCACTGCAGCTACTTTCAGAATTGTTATAACAGCATGTTCCCTTTGCCTGTACTACATCTCAACCTGCTTGAGATTCCACTCATTTATCTGAAGGTCTGAAGGTGGATGATTCATTCTGAAATATCCCTCTAGATGTGGGTGTAGATCTGAAGGGTTGTGGTTTAATCCCTCTACCTCATGGACCCCCACTGTCTCATGCTTTCCCCTGGCTCCTCCTTATGCATGTGTGTGGCAGATGTGGACGGCATGGGATGTGGGAAGACTCAGCTGTGGTTAAGATATGGATAATGATGGTTTTTTTTTCCCAACTGCTCCATGTGTTTTCTCTGTCTGATGCGTTCCCCCTGGCTACTCTTCATGTATCTGTATGACAGATGCAGACGGCATGGGATGGTGGGGAGATTCAGCCGTGGGTGTAGATGTGGATAATATTGTCTTCTTATTCCCACTGTCCCATGTATCCTCACTGTCTGATGCGTTCCCCGTGGCTGCTCCTTATGTATCTATCTTGCAGATGCGGACGGCATGGGGTGGTGGGGAGATTCAGCTGTGGGTGTAGATGCAGAGGAGGTTGGCATGAGTGGGACCACATGGGAAGGGCATGGCTTCTTGTTTCATGACCCTGAAGGGTTTTGAGATGACTAATATTTTAGAGACTCAGCAGATGGCAGATGCGGGCAGCACGAAACGGGGGCGGTCTGTATGTGGAACTGGAGTGGGTTTGCTTGGAAATACTTGGGTGGTCATGTTGCGTTTCATGCTTCCGATGGCAATTACCCTAAGTGCGACCTGTGGCTAAACGCTATAACCATTCCTGTGGTACCACATGGTATGAGCTCGTCTTCTCTGCTCTTGACGGTTTATCTACACATGCGTTCAGACAATTCTTTGCAGAAACTAATATACACAAACAGCTACAAAATAACAGCAGTTTACTTAGGGATGATCCTCCCCACATCAAATACGGTGAGCATGTTACGCCATGAACATTAGTCAAATTCATTTGCGACTTTACCATAAGCTCAGCTCTTATTTCTTGTTTGGATTCCGTAACATAATGTCTATCACGAAGCATGTTATAGCAGCGCCCAGCTCAGGGGGCGCTGGTTCCTATGCCCAGAGACAGAGCCTAGAAAATGCAAGACTCCAGCCTGAGCGTGAAGCCGAAGTATTTTTTCCATGCGCTAGCGGTAGCATTCCCGAAAACAATCATTTCGAACCAGCTCGACGACATGGGCGCGGTTTTCTTTCGCCAATCGCCTCTTGGATGGCGTCGACGTTCTCTAGTCCTCGCTCCTCTCTTACTAGTCCTTTTCTGCGTTTTACCGTTTCCGGTTAGCGCCTACTCTCACCCCTACGAGCCTATTCATGCCGTCGTGCCTCGGGCTTTAAGTCCCGAAGACGTTCCGCTCCCGTTCTGGGGAACGAGTGTGACTAGTATGAAAGTTTCTATGAACGCGTCGCTAGTGCGTGAGTATAACGGGGACGACAAGAACAACATCATCGTAGATATCGAGGGTCAGGGCCCCATTCCGTTCTCCCTGTCGCGGTGGAACCAAGGGGATTTCGCGCCGCGGCTCGCTCCCAGGCATCCGTATTCGCAGACGAATCTCGGCATCCCCGGGGGAAAGGATGGTTACCAGTCGGATAACCCGATGGAATTTGCTCTTCAGGTGATATTCTTCAATATTCCTGTTCAAATTATACATCTCCTTGATGCGTTAGGGTTTGTTTCTCGTTTTCAGCTGCAATTTCACTTCATGGAATGTTGGGGGAATTGACAAACCTGGCGCATGGTGTGGGACTTGGGCCTGTCCGATCCTGTTTGTCAGGCTTGGCGTCCGAGCCTGGATAAGGGTGTGGTACTCGGCTCGGTGGCTCAAAACGGGCAGCAGTGGAACGATGGTGCGCCGTTTTTCTATGGCACTGTGGTGCGTGTTGTCGTTTCGTGCCATCCCATCCCATCCCATCCCATCCCATCCCATCCCATCCCATCCCATCCCATCCCATCCCATCCCATCCCATCCCATCCCATCCCATCCCATCCCATGCCATCCCATCCCATCCCATCCCATCCCATCCTACTCCATGCCATCCCATCCATTCCATACATGTCATCCCGTCTATCCCATCCATGTCATACCCATGTCATTTCATGTCACGTCATGCTATACCATGACGTGTCATACTATAGCATAGCATAGCATACCATACCATTCCACACCACACCATACCATGCCATCCAGTGTCTTGTCGTTCAATCCAAACCCACTTCCTCTCGTTTCTTACCACCTCCCACGTGTTCCCTTGCTCAGTCATGCATATACGACTCACACGGTTACGGTTACAGGTACGAGTTTTTAGACTCGCATAGTTACATTTACACATAAAACACTGTTGAACTAGCTGTTCTTCCCCAATCAACGGGTTTGCGTGCAAATCCTCTCGTCCTTCATTTCATTGTTCCATTGTATTTGCTGATTCCCTGCACACAACATTAGCAAAATGTTGCTGATTCCCCCGTCCCTTCCCTGCACACAACATGAGCCTGAGAAACATATAATTGGATGTTTATCCCGTCCCTCCCCTCTCCCCCCCTTCCTCTCCTCCCCCATTCATTCCCCCTTTCTCTCCTTGTTTTGTATCACTTACACACAGCATGACAACTGGAGAGTTTGGCAACGACAATCCCAACATTGACAGTACGTGCCCTGCATCCATGCACTACATTTGAGTCGACTCATAACTCACAATGCACACCGCATGACCACAGGGGAGTTTGGCATGACAATCCCAACATCGACAGTGCGTGTCCTCATTGCTCCATGCATCCATGCATCCATGCATGCACGCATGCTCCATCTATCCTCCCTACACTCCAACCTCTTGCTGAGTGCGTGTGCTGTCTCGGTCTCTTTTGATTTTGACTCTGGGCATGTCGAGAACAACAAAGAAAAAAAGTTATGCTTTGCATCTTTTCGGTTACTATCGGGTAAAGTTTTAGACGTCTAAAAAATCAACCTGTTGCTGCTGTGCGCGTCTTTCTTTCTGCATGTGCGCCTGTCTCAACGTATCAGTTGCTATTGGGAAGGCGGGCGAGCAGGACGAGGGTGTGATTGACGTCTCAATCGCATGGTTTCCTTACCACCAAGGTACGTATGTGTGTGTGTGGGAAAGAGGAGAGGGGGGAGAGGTGATTTCCAATACATAGTCAACACCTCAGTTGCTATTGGGATGGGAAGGCGGGAGAGCAGGAGGAGGGCAACATTGACGTATCAATCGCACGGTTACCTTATCAGCAAGGTGCGTCTGTCTGTGTGTGTGGTTTCCATACCGCATGTCCTTGTGTTGTACGTGCATGTGGGGGGTGGGAAGGCGGGCGAGCAGGAGGAAGGCACTATTGGCATCTCCATCGCATGGTTTCCCTACCACCAAGGTGTGTCTGTGTGCTGTGGTGGTATGGTTGCCCCCCCAGGCTGGACCGGTACGTGGATGCTCCTTCGCAGCTGGAGAAAGGAGCAGGGTCGAAATGGGCCACCAACGCGTCCCACTCCCCCAACCCAACCTCCCAACCCAACCCAACCCCTATGTACCCCGCTCTTGTTGCATTCTACAGGCTGGACCGCTGGGTACGTGGATGCTCCTTCGCAGCTGGAGAAGGGAGCAGAGGCCAAGTGGGCGACAAACGCATCCCACTCGCCCAACCTCCCCACTGATCTCTCACGCATTATGCGGTGGGACGGCCGGGGAGCCAGTCTGGAGCTGCCAGGTGTCAACCCGTCACAGGACGGCATGCTCTTCCTCACCTCGTGAGCGGGCGTTTTTTTTTACATGTTATGAACTTGAACAAAAAAAACTTAGTATAAGCGACCTGTTTTGCTGGGCCTGCTTTGTTTTGTCCATTTCTTTATTCAAGTGTTTTTTTTATATATGTTTTTTTCTTTTCTTTTCTTTGTCCGTATCTATTCTGAGCAGCACGGATCCGGGTCGATGGAGCAATGAGCTGAACATCATGAGCACCTATGTCAAACGAAAGTACGTATTTAGAGAAAACGGGCTGGGTGTCATGAGCACCTTGGTAAGTATATAAATGTAGTGGCAGTGGGTGGCGCATGAGTTGAGGGAGAGTGAATTGAGTGTCCTGTCATTGCTTGCTCTCCTCCTATCTAACCCCCCCTTGCTCACCTGCTTGCTCTCTTCTAACTCCCTTCTCCCATCACACACCAGTGGCCGCGGGTGGCACATTCAGGCAAGAGAGGTTGCTGGTGGAGCGAGAAGGGCGTGATGTCAGTCATTACATGCTTACCTGTTTCTCCCACCCTACCCACCAGTGGTCGCGGGTGGCGCATTCAAGCACGGGAGGACGTGCTCCCTCTTATCTTACACTACCTTCTCCTCTCTCACTATCGCCCTCTAGTGGTCGTGGTCGCGGGTGGCGCATTCAAGCACGGGAGGACGTGCTCCCTCTTATCTTACACTACCTTCTCCTCTCTCACTATCGCCCTCTAGTGGTCGTGGTCGTGGGTGGCGCATTCAAGCACGGGAGGACGTGCTCCCTCTTATCTTACACTACCTTCTCCTCTCTCACTATCGCCCTCTAGTGGTCGTGGTCGCGGGTGGCGCATTCAAGCACGGGAGGATGCATTCGGGGATGTGACAGAGCTGGTGGAGAGTCAGGAGCACATGTCGTTCCTTGCTTGCCTATTTGTCCCCTCCTCGCTCACCTGCTCTGCCCCTCTTACTGCCCTCAACTCCCAGCGACCGCGGGTGGCGGATTCAAGCACGGGAGGACGTGTTTGGCAATGTGGCAAAGCTCGTGAGGAGTGACAGAGCTGGTGGAGAGTCAGGAGCACATGACATTACTTGCTTGCCTATATGTCCCCTCCTCGCTCGCGCACCTGCTTTGCCTCTCTTACCGCCTTCAACCCCCAGCGGACGTGGGTGGCGGATTCAGGCACAAGAGGACGCGTTTGGGGATGTGACAGAGCTGGTGGAGAGTCAGTGAATTGAGTGGCCTGTCGTTGCTTCCGGCTTGCTCCCTCTTATCTTACACTACCTTCTCCTCTCTCACTATCGCCCTCTAGTGGTCGTGGTCGTGGGTGGCGCATTCAAGCCAGGGAGGACGCGTTTGGGGATGTGACAGAGCTGGTGGAGAATCGGGTCAGGAGCACATGTCACTGCTTGCTTGGTTACTTACTTGGCCTCTCCTTCCTCATCTGCTGTGCCCCTCTTCCCCCCTTCACGCACCAGTGGCCGCGGGTGGCGCATTCAAGCCAGGGAGGACGCGTTTGGCGATGTGACAGAGCTGGTGGAGAGTCAGGAGCACATGTTCGCCTTCCTCTACGTCCCCTTCTCCGCCACTGGGTAAGCAAGCCTGCTGCTACTCAAGTGCTGCTCCCTCTCTATCAAGTGCGGCTGCTATCTCTTCTCTCCTGGTATGCCAGCGGGTGGAGAGTCAGGAGAACGTGTTTGCCATCCTCTACACCCCCTTCTCTCCCCGTGTTTTTTCCCTCCTCGAGATGGTTTGTCTTTCACACTCCCCTCCCTTTCTTTCAGGCTTTTAGGGGCCATGGTAGCAGCAGATAGGTCAGTGGTGTGGGGAGCGGGGTGACTTTTTGAGTCGACTCATAAGTGTCGGGTGAAATTGTAAGGAGGTGACTTTTGAGTCGACTCAAAAGTGCCGTGTGAAATTGTAACAAGGTGACTTTTTGAGTCGACTCAAAAGTCACGACTTGACTTTTGAGTCGACTCAAAAGGCTTTTAGGGGCCACGGTAGCAGCAGATAGGTCAGTGGCACGGGGAGCGGCATTATCCCCATACATTCAGTTGAGCAGAGCAGAAACAGGGATGTTCACAATCACTTCTCTCCCCTCAGCCTGATCGGCGCCAGAATTCCAACAGATGGGTCAGTGGTGCAGGGAGCTGATGTTTTCTCGTGAAGGAGGCTGGGCTTTGGGTGTACGAAATCAGCATTGTTGAATCTCCTTGTTTCCCTCCCTCCCCTCCTCCCTCCCTCCCCTCCTTCGGGAGGGGCTCTGTAGGAGCCTGTAGAAGAAAAAGGTTTGGGGAGGTGGGGGGCGAGTACAGGCTCCTACTAAGCTCCTCCCACTCACCCTTGCGCCCCATTGATTTCCTTCTCTTTTCCATCAGAAGCACATCAGCAGGAACCAGCGTCTCAGCTCCTGCACCCCCACGCACAACGAGGCGACCCACATATGCTGCGGGGCCTCATCGGTGACTTGGGTCCCTCCTTCCCCCCCCTTCCCCCCCTTCCCCCCCCTCCCACCCTTTCCTCCCGGTTTTCCATTCCCTCTACGTCTCAAAAGTCCCTCTCTCCAGCTTGACCCCTCGCACCCACCCGTGCTCTCCATTTCACCTATCTAAAACCCAATACCCCTCCACCTCCCAGCAGCACTGTATATTGTCTCAAGGCCAATATGCTCACACTCTTCTCTCCACTCATCGCACGGACCCCACATGTTCCCGGCAGCTGCACCGCCTCTCCCTGCTTGTCAAGTGTGATCGTGTGGTGGTCCTGACTCACGACTTCAAATCCTTAGGTTTAGCGTGACCGGTTACCACGGCCGTACTAAGGATTTGGAGTCGTGAGTCAGGGCCGCCACACGGTCACGCTTGACAAGCAGGAAGAGGCGGTGCTGTCTCCGGGACTCTGTACTGTTCGTGCGATGAGTGGGGAGAAGGGTGTGGACGTATTGGTCTTGAGACAATATATAGTGCTTCTGAGAAGTGGGAGGGGTATTGGGCTCAGAGAGGTGAAATCGGAGAGCGGGGGTGGGTGGGTGGGAGGGGTCGGGTGGAAAAGAGGGGATGGGAAGGAGGGAGGAAAGGGTGGAGAGTGGAGGAGGAGGGACCCAAGTCACCGACGAGGTCCCGCTGCGTATGTGGGTCGCCACGTTGTGCGTGGGGGTGCAAGAGCCGAGGGGCTGGTTTCTGCTGATGTGCTTCTGATGGAAAGGAAAATGAAATCCATGGGGCGCAAGGGTGAGTACGAGGGGCTCTGTACGAGCCTGTACTCCCTCCTCCCCTCCTTCTCCCACTTTCTCTCTGCCCCTCCCCCTTCCCCTCTTCCTCCACTCTCTCTTTCCTCTCTTTCCTTCACCTCCCCTCGTCTCCAGCCTTAAAGGAGCCACAATAGCAGCGGATGGGTCAGTGGTGCAGAGAGCTGGTTTGTTCTCATGCAGGAGGTTGACCGTTGGGATGTACAAGATCAGCATTTTTCTACCTCCTCCCTTCCCCAACCCCCTCTCTCTTTCATTTCGTTCCTTCCCTCTTTCCCCCCTCCTCGCCCGCTGTAGCCTTATAGGAGCCACAATAGCAGCAGATGGGTTGGTGGTGCAGGGAGCAGGTGTTTTCTCGTGCAGAAGGCTGGGCCTTGGGATGTACGAGATCAGCATTGGCAACGAGCACAAGACACACAAGTGAGTGGGGAGGAGTAAGGTGGGGTGGAGTGCGGTGTGAAGCAGGGAAGAGGAGAGGTTGAGGTGTTCTCGTGCAGGAGGCTGGGCCTTGGGATGTACGAGATCAGCATTGGCAACGAGCACAAGACGCACAAGTGAATGGGGAGGGATCTGGGGGGGTGAAGTGCGGGAGTGACGAGGAAGCATATTGTCCCACTGTTCCCGCCCCCGTTTTTTCCTGTTAACTGAAGGGACGGCATCCTCCTACTCTCCAAGTGACGGGGCGGTACGACAGCAACAGGCGGTACGCACGCCTTCCTCTCTTACAACTTCACCTCCCCAATCTCCTTCCACACATTCATTCTCCCTTTTTCCCAATGTTCTTCCCATAGGAGGCTGGGCCTTGGGATGTACAGCTTCCCATAGCGACGACATCCTCCTCCTGCTGCAAGTGATGGGGCGGGATGACAGCAACAGGCGCTATGCGCGTCACGCTTTCCTCTCTTACAACTTCACCTGCTTGCTTCCCTCCCCTTTCTTGGTGTTTGTAGGGACGGCATCCTCCTCCTGCTGCAAGTGATGGGGCGGGATGACAGCAACAGGCGCTACGCACGCCGCGCCTCTTCACTTCCCTCCCTCTCCGTGTTTCTCTGTTTCTATCCCCAGGGACGCCATCCTCCTGCTGCAAGTGATGGGGCGGGATGACAGCAACAGGCGCTATGCGCGCCACGCCTTCCTCTCTTACAACTCCATTTCCTTTTCTTCCCCTCCTCTCCTTGTTTTTATACATAGGGATGGCATTCTCCTGCTGCAAGTGATGGGGAGGGATGACAGCAACAGGCGCTACGCGAGGCATGCCTTCCTCTCTTACAACTTCACGGCTCAGGGGTCGCTGCTGGTGGAGGGGCATCGGCTCGTGAAGGAACCCGCTCAGATGTTTAAAGAAACGTTTCCCTATACCGATACAGGTATTATATGTTGCTGGTTTTGTTATAATAAGCAGTCTGGAGATGCATAATATGGGGGATGGAGAAAGCCGCACAGGGGTCGCTGCTGGTGGAGGGGCATCGCCTGGTGAAGGAACCGGCTCAGATGTTCAAGGAGACGTTTCCATACACTGATACAGCTAGTGTAGTGTTATTTGCCTATGGAAGTAATGTTGAGGTGGCTTATAACAGGGATGGAGGAAGCATCACAGTGGGGCTTGCTGGCCATGCCAAAGTCTCGTGAAGGAACCCGCTCAGATGTCCAAGAAGACGTTTCCCTACACTGATACAGGTATGCTTTGCATGGGAAGGCGTTAGTGAGATGCCTAATATTGAGTGAGGAAGGAACCCGCTCGTTGAAGGAGACGTTTCCGTACACCGATACAGGTATTACAATTGTAGTTTATCTTTGATAAGAAGTCTTGGGATGCATAGTAACGGGGGTGGAGGAAGCAGCACAGGGGTCGCTTCTGGTGGAGGGGCATCGTCTCGTGAAGGAACTTGCGGGTAGAGAGACCTTTGACTCGTGAAGGACTTTTGAGGCGCCTCAAAAGTGGTGGAGGGGCATCGTCGTCTCGTGAAGGAACCCGCTCAGATGTCCAAGGAGTTCCATACACTGATACAGGTGTGCTTTGCGTGGGAAGGCGTTAGTGAGATGCCTAATATTGAGTGAGGAAGGAACCCGCTCAGATGTGCAAGGAGACGTTTCCATACACTAATACAGGTGATGTGCTTCCCGTGTTCTTTGAGTCAACCCAGAAATAGAAGTTTCATCCGCGGAAGATGCATTTTTTGAACGACACAGAAATAGACTTAAAAAAAAAAAAAAAAAATCGTTTTGAGGCACTTCAGAGAGTGCACACAGCACAGTACACTGCATCTTCTTTCATTCTTCTTTCTTTGTTTTTGTTCTTTCTCCTTCTAGCAAGGCGGATGAGTGCACATAATACACTCATCACCCTTTTTTTTTCTAAGCCCTTCTTCTCACCCAATGATTTTCATTTGTTTTGTTCCATTCCATGCCATGCCATACTACCACACTACACCACTCTGCACCACATCATGCCACGCCACAACACACCACATCACACCATGCCATCCTTCAGACTTTGCCTTTGTGTGGGTTGACTTCCGCAACCCTCTCAGCCCCACACTCCGCTCCTATACCGGTCAGTACCACTCAGCATCACTCATTACCAGTCAGTAGGGGTCAGTACCAGTCAGTACCGGTGAGTACCGCATCTGGAGCTCGAGTCATTCTAACTCTTTGCTACAGTATGAAGCAATTTCTACCCAATCCAAGTTATACTAAGTCGTTACGCAACGAACTGATCCTTCCTTGCAACTGCTCTGCCACTCGCAGGTCCCCTCCTTCGACTGACTGGTTACCGCTTCTGGAGCGGAATCGTAGCGGGAATAGCATGATTGGCTGTTCTGGCTTTGACTAATTGACTTGTGCTTGTGATTGTCTTCCCACCCATTCTTACCCGCAGGTCCCCTCCCACCTCGACTGACTGGTTACCGCTTCTGGAGCGGAATCGTTGTGGGAATAGTCGTCATGGTGATAGCGACTGCCGCTGCTGTCTTCTTGCTCTCCCGCCACTCCATCTCTCTGGTAAGCAAACCAGGCACCCCAGCAGGTGATTCCGGGTGGTTGCAGATAACTTCCTAACAGGATTAGTCATCATGGCGATTGCGACTGCAGCTGCTAACTGCTTCCTCTACCGCCACTCCATTTATCCGGTTAGCATACCAAAAACCCCAGCAGGTAACTCACCAAAGGGAATATTGGTCATGGCGCCATGACCTCTCCTTCCTCTGCCTGTCTCCACCATCCTACAGATGCCTTCTGACGATACTACAACCCACTACGATGCCTTCACTACAACCCGCCAATTCGGTATCGGCAGAGACAGAGCTCACAAAAGATCTGCTCGCTCTCTCAACCTTTTTCCCTCTCTTTCTGCTGCCTGTCCCTACCATTTCCCACAGGTGCCTTCTGCCTTCGCTCCTCTGACGTCACTACAACCCACCGATTCGGTATCGGCAGAAACGGAGCTTGCAGAAGAGCTGCTTAGAGGAGTGTATATTAATGCTGAAGACTGAAGTATATAGGCCGGACGTAATGGGACCTTTTTAGTACAGCTTACAGCGTCGAGCTGTGTGTACAAATGTATTCATTCTGGTTATGCATCACGAGCATTCATAGCTGATGTTTCGAGATTACCGTAAAGTGCCACCTATAGGACCTGCCGGTAAGAGGGTCCCCCGGGACTCTTGAATGGGTAGGGGGACTCTTATTGTGGCAAGTTTTGTGAGGACCCCCCCTTTGTAGCTAATCATTATAAGACCCCCCCCCCCTTTCCATATAAGGCCCTATTGAGTTTGGTGCAGTTAACATTGTTATCGTTGTTACCTACCGTACTACATACACATCTCAACACCTAGTGGCCACTACAACTACGGCTTGGTCATGTTAGATTCCATCAAGCACTTAGCGTTCGCGTCCTCCTCCAGCCCACCCTCCGCCTCCTCTTCCTCGTCATCCACATCGTCGTCGTCGTCGTCGTCGTCCTCCTCCTCCTCCTCCTCCTCCTCCTCCTCCTCCTCCTCCTCCTCCTCCTCCTCCTCCTCCTCCTCCTCCTCCTCCTCCTCCTCCTCCTCCTCCTCCTCCTCCTCCTCCTCCTCCTCCTCCAGGTCCCTGGCATCCTCAGCATCCGCAGCCTTTGCCGCCTCCTCATCCTCCGCGGCTGTGGCGAACAGTGGGTTCACCCACTCCTCCACCTCAGGGGCGACGTGCACGTCTTGTGCCACCTCGACCTCGCCTGCATCACGCATGTGGGCCAGGACGAGGTGATCTTGCTTCCCATCGACCGAGTTGCTGATGCCTGTCGTGAGAAACGCCTTCTCAATAATGTGCTCGGGGACGGCCGCCCAAGCACTCGCAATCCACTTGAGGACCGTCTCTGCTGGCGGCTTCTTCAGGTTGCCTGCCATGTAAACAGGAAAGAATAGGCACGGGGCGCACACGGAGAGTTATCATAAAGCCAACAACAAGCTACAAACACGCCACAAGGCGAGGTACTAAGCACGGCACCGAAACTCACCGGCTTTCGTGAATGTGTTGACGCCAAACTCGGCAAACCGGTCATTGTAGAGCTGACGGAGTAGTGCCTTGAATGAGCGATTAACGCTCACATCAAGGGGCTGTAGGAGTGGGGTGCAGCCCCCGGAAATTATGGCCGGAATTACCCAGTTCCACTTCATGTTGGTGAGAACGCCGTCGGTGAGGTGGCCCCGGTACGAGTCCACGACGAGAAGCGTCTTGGAACGCCGGATGCCACGCGGAGGCTTGATGAACGGCAGCAGAACGTTATTCACCCAATCATCCACTAGCTTTGCATCCATCCAGCCTTTCGCCTGCGCACGAACAACGACTCCTGCAAAGAAAACAACGCACGTGGTTAGAAATCCGCCACGAAGAGAGACTACCGTGATGGTTACAACTCTAGCAACTCACTGTCAGAACATATATGTAGCTTATGCTGTTGTGTAGGCTACAGTGGGGTATACCATAGGGGGTACAACCCAATTAGGGTTTTGCTATTTGTACTCACTTCTCTCATAGTTCATTCTCATAGTGGAGGGTCTCTCAGTTCTGTTCGCTGCTCTTACGTGATTCTCACTGGTGCTCGGACTGGTCAGCCTTGTGGGACACCTAGTCATACACAGTCCCGCTGCTTCGCCCGTCTGAGCGACGTACCGTGTTTGGCGACGAGGCTGAGCTCCCCGACTGGGTGGAGTTGCTTAGGCAGAGGGTAGATATATTTGCTCTTGACTATGATGCTATTCTCACTGCCATGTATGCATTGCCTACTAGTGCTGACCGTGCCGGTCACCTGTGCGTACCGCCTGACCCGGGTATTGGACCTGCTGCTCTAGCTACTGGTGAGGCTGCTGCTGCTCTGGGTGCTAGTGAGTCTCCTGCTCCAGGTACAGGTGCGGCTGCTGCTCTAGGTGCTAGTGAGTCTGCTTCCTCAGGTGCGGGTGAGGCTGCGCTCTCAGGTACCACGTTGGCTTCGGCCTCCCTCACCTTTACACTTGACTCTGGGGCTTCTCGCTCCTTCTTTCGGGACCGCACCACACTCACGCCGCTTGGTCGGCCTGTTGCAGTCTCCCTGGCTGACCCCTCTGGGGGTCCTGTCCTCGCTCACTTTTCCACTGTCCTCCCGTGTCCGGCTGCCCCCTCGGGCACCCTGTCTGGCCTGTACCTCCCCTCGTTCTCGACGAACTTGGTGAGTGGTGCAGACCTGCAGGATGCGGGGGTTCACCAGTTCACTCCTGCGAGTCAGCGGGTGACCCACTGCACGGACGCACGCACAGGCCGGCACCTGGCCACGTTCTCGCGTCGGCCGGGGTCGAGCCTCTACACCCTGACCACTGAGTCTCCTCCTGTCCCTGCGTCCGGTCAGGTAGCAGCGTCAGGTCAGGTGTTTGCTGCTGCGTCGAGGTCTGGTCCTGAGTCTGCCCCCTGCTCGTGTCGCCTCTTGTCTCACGAGACTCTCCTGTGGCACCACCGTCTTGGCCACCCCTCCTTGCCCCGTCTTCGGGGCATGGCTTCCCGTGTCCTTGTCTCTGGTCTTCCCCAGTCTCTCCCTCCCCTTCCTTCGGGACCAGGACCTTCCTGTGTCCCCTGTGTCGAGGGGCGCCTCAGGGCTGCTCCTCACTCCTCCCAGTTTCCCCCGACAGAGGCTACTCTGCAGACACTTCACATGGACGTGTGGGGCCCGGCCCCCGTCCGTGGGCAGGGTCACGAGCGCTACTTCCTGTTGGTGGTTGACGACTACTCGCGTTACACCACAGTCTTCCCCTTGCGCAGCAAGGGTGCTGTCACTGAGGTGCTGATCGACTGGATCCGCGAGGCTCGTCTCCAGCTCAGGAGGAGCTTCGGCTCGGACTTTCCTGTTCTGCGTCTGCACTCTGACCGAGGTGGGGAGTTCTCCTCTCGCCTTCTGCGAGACTACTGTCGTGCACAGGGGATCCCCAGACCTTTACGCTTCCGGACTCTCCACAGCAAAATGGGATTGCTGAGCGCCGCATTGGCATGGTCATGGATGTCGCTCGTACGTCCATGATGCATGCGGCTGCCCCCCATTTTCTGTGGCCGTTTGCGGTTCGGTACACGGCGCATCAGCTCAACCTTCACCCCAGGGTCTCTCGGCCCGATATGTCCCCAGTGTTACTGTGGACGGGGAAGGTCGGCGATGCGTCTGCGTTCCGTGTCTGGGGATCTCGGGCGTTTGTCCGCGACTTGTCTGCGGACAAGCTGTCCCCCCGTGCTGCTCCCTGTGTCTTCCTTGGCTTCCCCCCTGACGCTCCAGGGTGGCAGTTCTACCACCCCTCCTCTCGTCGTGTTCTGTCCTCCCAGGACGTCACGTTCGACGAGTCAGTCCCCTTCTACCGCCTCTTCCCCTACCGTACTCCTTCCCTCCCCCCCCCACCGGACTTCCTGGTGCCAGTTCCCCCCCCGGTAGACCCCCTCCCCCCTCAGGTTCCTGCCCCTTCAGGTGTGTCCCAGGTAGACACAGTCGAGCCAGTCGAGGTTGCTGCTGAGTCTGGTCCTGCTGCGGGTGCAGAGTCTGGGGGTGCTACGCCTGCGGGTGCTGAGCTTGGGGGTGCTGCTGCTGGGGGTGCTGGGCCTGGGGGTGCGAGGCCGGGGGGTGCTGAGCTTGGGGGTGCTGCTGCTGGGGGTGCTGAGCCGGGAGGTGCTACGTCAGGAGCTGCTGAGCCTGGGGGTGCTGAGCCTGGAGGTGCGGAGCCTGCGAGTGCTGGACCTGGGGGCTCTCCGGTTGCTCCGTCTCGGCGGGAGTCGCTCTCTCCACAGGAGCTGCGCGAGTGGTTTGCTCGCCGCTGGAGGCGTGCTGCTGGAGCTGGAGCTCCTTCGACTGCTGAGGGTGCTGGTGCTGCCGGTCCCGGAGCTGCTGGGCCTGCGGGTCCTACTGGAGCTGGAGCTGCTGAGCCTGAGGGTGCTGAGTCTGGAGCTGCTGAGCCTGGGGGTGCTGAGTCTGGGGCTGCTGAGCCTGGGGGTGCTACGTCTGGAGCCGCTGAGCCTGGGGTTTCTCCTGGTGCTGCGTCTCGGCGGGAGCCCCTCTCTCCACAGGAGCTGCGCGAGTGGTTTGCTCGCCGCTGGAGGCGTACTGCTGGAGCTGGAGCTTCTTCGACCGTCGAGGGTACTGGTGCCGCCGGTCCCGGAGGTGCTACGCCTGCGGGTCCTACTGGAGCTGGGGCTGCTGAGGGCGTTGGTGCTGAGTCTGCTGCTGTCTGTCCTGACGGTGGTTCTGCTGCTGGTGCTGCTGGAGGTCCTGCCGCTGGAGGTGTTGGTGGCGCTGGTGCTGCCGCTGAGGGTGCTGGTGCTGTCCCTGCTGAGTCTGGAGCTGCCGCGCGGCCTCGGCCGTACTTCGTTCCGCTTCTGCAGCAGGTTCTTGGTCTTTCTCCTCCGGTAGAGTGTCCACAGCCTGTCCAGTCGCAGTCACTGTTGGAGCCTACCTCCCCACTGCCTGCTCCCTCTCCTTACACTGGTCCTACTGGAGGTCTTGCTGAGCGTCGTGAGCCTGCGTCTCGTCCCGCGTCGCCTGTTCGTGCTGCCCGCACTAGTGGTCGTGGTTCGCGTCCGCGTCCTCCTCCTGTCCCTGGCACGCACCGGATGTCTCTGCGTCCGTCCACTGCTCCTCTGCGTGCCCTTTTGCCTTCTCCTCCTGAGTCCTCCCTTCCTGTGCTTACCGACCCAGAGTCGGACTCCCTTCGTGCTGCCAGTCCTACTGTCACGTGTCTGCTTGCTACTGTCGTCACTGACCCCTCTTTTGAGTCCGCTGCTGCGTCTGCTCTTGTCGCTGAGCTCGTCGACTTTGCTGCTCGCTGTCGTCTAGACTACGCTGCTAGTCTTGTTGCTGAGTCTGCGTCTGTCTGTCCTCCGTCCGTCGGGGGTGAGTGTGCTCTTGGCACGGACGTCCTAGAGGACAGGCAGGAGGAGTTCCAGTGTCTGGCTGCTGCTTCACCTCATCTCGCGTCTGTACTGCTTGCTCCTGAGGGAGACCCGGATGCACTAGACATCCCGACTCCGCGCTCTTACGCGGAGGCCGTAGAGGGTCCCTACTCCTCTCAGTGGCAGGCAGCTATGGATGCAGAGATGGCTTCCTGGAAGTCCACAGGCACCTACGTTGACGCGGTTCCCCCTCCTGGGGCGAACATCGTCAGTGGCATGTGGATCTTCAGGGTGAAGCGGCCGCCGGGCTCTCCACCTGTCTTCAAGGCGCGGTACGTCGCTCGTGGCTTCAGTCAGCGGCAGGGAGTTGACTACTTTCAGACCTTCTCTCCCACCCCGAAGATGACCACTCTTCGGGTGCTGCTGCACATAGCCGCTCAGCGCGACTACGAGCTTCACTCTCTCGACTTCAGTACTGCGTTCTTGCAGGGGAGCCTGCAAGAGGAGATCTGGCTGCGCCGTCCACCTGGCTTCACTGGGACTTTCCCTCCTGGCACCCAGTGGAGCCTCCGACGGCCAGTCTACGGTCTCCGCCAGGCACCACGTGAGTGGCACGACACACTGAGGACTACACTTGCGGCCCTTGGGTTTGCTCCTTCTACTGCTGACCCGTCGCTGTTTCTGCGCACCGACACTTCACTGCCGCCGTTCTACATCCTCGTGTACGTCGACGACTTGGTCTTTGCCACAGCGGACACTGCTGGACTCGCCTACGTGAAGTCCGAGCTGCTGAAGAGACACACGTGCACAGACCTGGGTGAACTGCACAGCTACCTTGGCTTGCAGATCACTCGGGACAGAGCACGCCGCACCATTACCTTGACTCAGTCACACATGGTGCAGGAGGTCCTTCAGCGCTTCGGCTTCACGTACTCCTCGCCTCAGGCCACTCCTCTGTCTACTCGCCACTCGCTCTCAGCTCTGCCTTCGGATGAGTCCGTAGAGTCGAGTGGCCCGTACCCAGAGCTTGTTGGCTGCCTCATGTACCTGATGACCTGCAC